TAGCATTTGAGGAACACATTTGTAATAAATGTACCCCTTTTCCAGGTTTTGGCTTAAAGCAATTTACCTTTTTGGGATTCTGTTGGAGTCTTTCTTGCCTGTAGATTCCAAAGAAACCATAGTAATACGCCATGCTCTTATAACTGCCCTTAATTAGATTTCTGTATTACAGAAATTCACATATGCACATGCACACACACACACACACACACACACTGGATTATATATGTAGAAATTTATGAGAATGACAATAATTAAATTTCGAAAGTATGTGATTTCATAACCAGATACCATTTTCCCTTGACTTCCGAAATGGTCCTGCCATGGTAACTTCCTTTTCCAAGCCTAGTTCTCAGGGATCTTGCATAAGTTATTGATGATCTTTAAGAAACTGTTAGGTGAATGAATGAATCCAATGCTAGGTAAATATTTGTGGTTTGGAGTTGTTTTGAATAATATCATCAGGTTTTTTCAGTTTGTGAAAGAGTGATCTACTTAGCAATCAAAAGAATGCTAGGATGAGGTAGAGCAAGTTGCAGGACATGTTATTGAGAAGGTTTCTTGACCTTTCTGTCATGTGGAACTTCCATATAACTAGGAAACACATTCCTCTGATTAAATGTGAGTATACTTTTAAACTCTCCTGGAGTCATCCTTGCAATGAGATGAATTTAGCTCAAACAGTTTTCTTACAAATACACCCCCATGTGTGCACCTATGATCAAATCTCTAAGTCAGAGGAGGAATGTGGAATGCCCCAGTGTGATAAAAACAGATCTTGTAACTTTGGCTTCCCCATCTGTCAAGTGATGAAAATGAATACAGCAGTAGCTACACACCTCTCTCACTTCCTCTCTCCTGTTCAAGGAGGACTGTGAGAATTCACAGTTGATCAGAAAGCTAAGTAACAATGGTATGTCACAAGGAACAAACTTGCAGTGAGATCTGTGAATTCTGGCAAAGCACAGGAAGTGTCCAATTCAGCTAGACTGGATTGGTGTTAAGGCAGTTCACATCTTCAGAGCTTGAGGTGGTCAAGAATCCTATCCTTTCTGCTAAGGAATGTCAATGACAAGGGGAATCCCTGCTTCACTCTTTGCATAGAGATGTAGTAGGAAATGCAGATTTGATCATTTGCTTTCTGTGTGACCCTATAGTCAAAATGAAACTAGAATGTGAATATTAGAGTGTGTGAACCTTCTTAGCACGAAGCGTGATTACTGTGGCATTAAGGAAATCGCACCAGGTAATAATAGCAGCACTCTATATACACACTGTCCTTGTGACAAGTAACGACGATGACTGCTGGTGCTCAGATCCTAGTGTTCTGTAGGATCCAGCAACCCATTGCTTGCATACAACAGTGTATCTATTAACAATCTTCATTGTACATTGTCTTCGTGTTTGCCTTCTAGTCTTCTGTGAATGGATTTACTGAAAACTGTAGTTTGTAAGATATGAAATGTTGATTTTTTTCTTTGATGAACAATAGTTATAATACATGTTCATCATTAAAACAGATTGGAATAGAAGGAAGACTAGGCTACCCAAACACAACCATTGTTGTCTTGTATGAAGCAGGTTCCCATAGGTAATATCTAATTAACGAGCCCACTAAAGTAACTGGCGTATCCTCCATGCTATCTGTAAAGCATATGGCTGATTCCCTTGGCGAGCTTAAAACATGCCATTGCTATTCTCAGAATGTGTCTGGGCACTTCCTTCAGTTGTGTTGTCTTCTTACCAAGGGTCAGTTTGTTCCCAGACATGTTTAAAAATGCTGTGACTGAAAATTTACAATGTAATTAGGAATTACGTGAAAGATTAAAATGTAATGCAGAAAGAACATTCTTAGGAAAATCAAGTTGCTTTGAAAAGACTTGATAAAGGTGAGGCATGAATACACACACACACAGGCACACATACTGTCATATTAGGTGTGGACAAGCAACTATATAAAAGACTGAAAGTAAATCATTAAAATCTAGCAGGATTTGCCCTCAGATTCCTTCCTAAGCACCAAATTCTTGCTCAGCTTTAAAGAAACTGAAAAATTGTAGCTGATGCATTAAGGGTGAGCGATTGGGTGAGTGTTGTTAATTTGTGCTTTATAATAAGAAATACATATTTGGTCTTCATGCCATTTCTGGTACGGAGCTCCTAAAACCCTTGGAATGTCCTAAGTGAGGAGAGTGCTTAAGCTGTTTTTGTTATTACTGAGGTGACATTTGAACTAAGATGAGCACCAGGTTGAGGCTTTCAGTCTGGAGGGGCTACAGGCTGGAGATTGAGTTCAATCACGAGTGTCCAGTGATTTAATCAATTATGCCTATGTAAGGAAGGCTCCACAGAAACCAAAAGGAGGGGGTGTGGAGAGCTTCTGGGTTTGACGAACCCATGGAGATTCAGGGACAGGGCCACAAGCAGAAGACAAGGAAGCTCCCCGTCCTCTCTCCATACCTTGCACTGTGCCTCTCTTCTTCCTGGCTCTTCCGGGAGTTAACCCTCTTTTATAATAAGCCAGTAATCTGTAATAAAAATAAACTAGAAAGTACACTGGTTTCTTGAGTTCTGTGAAAGGCTCTAGCAAATGAATCAAACCAAGACAAGGGTTTGTGAGAACCTTTGATGTCTAGCCAGTCTGTCAGAGACACAGGCGACAACCTGGACTTGTGATGCATGTCTGAGGTGGTCGTTGGTAGTAGGAGGGCCATCTTGTAGGACTGAGCCCTTAACCTGTGGGATCTGACACTATCTCCATGTAGACAATGTCAGCATTAAGCTGAATTGAAGGACACCCAGCTGGTATCAGAGAGCTGCTTGGATATGTGGGGAAAAAACCCACACGTCAGAATTATTCACTGGTGTCAGAATTGATGTTGGTCATTAGAAGTGGGATCAGAGTCAGAATCGTGGATCTAAAATACAAAATGAGTGGAGGAGACACTCTTAACAGGAGACTTACAGGCAAAGACAAAAAAAGAAACCCAGTAACAATAGTAAATTCACATAGTGCTTCATATGTGCCATGGACTGATCTAGACACTGGAGGAATTTTACTCGTTTTATTGTCTAATAACTCAGTGATGTAGTAAGTAGGCTATCGTTATTCCCTATTTTACAAATGAGGGAACTGAGCTAGAGCGACGTTTAAATTCCTTACTCTAGATTGCCCGACTGGGAAGCAAATAGCTGACATTCAAACACAGGCAGTTTGGTCCTTGTAAGGTTTCCCACTGCCTGGATTTTGCTGACTTCATTCCCCATGGTGTCATTTAAAACATTTATTTGTTTTCCACATTTCTTATTAATTGGGAGTCACATCTAGACATGCAATCTGATTCAGGTTTTGCTTTTTTGGCATGAGTACTTCATAGTTCGTGATGTGATGTTTCCATCAAGAAGCACATACTATGTCTTTTTCTGTAATGTTGGCATCCTTTAATTATCAGGGGTTAAAAATGGTGCTTTTCTGCTATCCCTATCTCATTTATTATATGGACTATTTCTATAAAAAGAAATTTGCCTTCATTGACAATTCAGTTACCCTAAATTCTATATAATAAACACAGGATAAATGCTTGATTCTTTCCCTCTACTCACCAGTTTTCAAAATACTGCATTATTTCCTAGCTCCTTGAAAGGTAACATGTGAGGTTTTTTCCTAAGTAGTTTTAAACCTATGGGCTCAAAAATAGTGATGTATTTCAATCCACAGCACTTATTGATTCTCAGATTTATTTTCTTTAGCTGAGGGGAACCTCTTCCATTTGGCTCTTGAGTCCTTTGAACACCAGCCCTCTTGTCTTTAATAGCTTCCTTGCTTTCTCTTATGATAAAACGTTCCAGGTTCAATCTTGTATGGAACAGTTTTAATGGTACCTCTCCATATCATCCATTGTCTATTTTTCAACTAGCTGGTCAACAGCTGGGAAGCAGATTGTTAAGGCTTCCTGGGTTCCTCTGCCTTGGATTCATTCATTTTGACCTTGTTTGTTACATGACTTGGGCAAGTTACTTAACTTTGCTCTGCTTCAGTTCCTTCATCTGTAAAATGGGAATCTTAATCATTGTACTTACCTCAAGGTGCTGTTCTGAAGGTAAACTGAGTTATACATAAATCACTTAAAATAGCACCTAGTCCATAGTAAAAACTCAATAAATGTTAGTTTTATCATCAGCTCTAATAAGACTGCTTTTAGTATTCATCTTTCAGCATTTGTAAAAGCATGCCTGATATAGTTGTGCTCATACTTGATACTGATTTGTTTCCTTATACTTTTCTCATAACTAACAACATAGGCATTTAATGATCTAACAAACATAAGTTCTAACAACAGCGTAAAAGTATTATGTGGTATTATAAAAGTATTACATGGTATTACCACAGTTACCCACTTACATACTCTCTTACAAAGAACAGCTGATTTCCATTTTTTCCTGTTATGAATAATACAGCAGTGAATATTTCTGTGAATTGAAGTTTTTGTTTTTCTTCTGTGTTTAGCGTTTCTTTACTACTATAAATTTCCCAGAGTGGAATGACTGCATCTAAGTTATAATCAAGTTTATTCCCCAATGGTTTGTACTGATTCTGTTTACCTTGAGCTTTAACATGGTTTTAAAAATGGTTATAAAATGCCAGTTATTTTCTGTGCTCTTTTTACAAAATCCAATGACACAAATAAGCCATTTAAGTTGATCCGCTCTGAAAAGAGACCAAATAATATGGTCACAGTCCCTGGGCTGCCCACATACAGTAACATCAGCCTGGCTTCCTGAGTCAAACTGGTGAGGCTGGGGGAAATTTGGCTGCCACAGCCTTGAATGTGGTGAAAGAAAAAGAAAAGAAAACCAGCCCTTTGAGTAATCTAGTAATTGGTTCTGCCCTCTTCTGAGCTAGCATGAGACCACAGTCACGTGAAACAACCACCAAAAGGTGGGAACAGCTCAGCAAGAGTGACTTGGGCTTGACAAGTGTCAAGCTTGCTGAGTGGGGAGGCAGCTTGACTCTGACAAGGCCCTGCTGCCCAATCTTTCGCTTGGCAGTGGGTGTGCAGGGGGCTGAAATCTGACCCACCACGGGCCCAAGCAGTAAGCCCCATTGCTGAGATCACCCTTGCAGGACGGGCCTCCCAGAGGGACACACTTTTGCAGTTTACCCACCCACAAGAGGTGTCACTTTTGAATTCACACTCAAGCTTTGTGTGTGCCAGATGTGACCCTGTTTTCCTTCCCTGTTGGGAGCCTTGAATTTGATAGAAAGGGAGCAGGAGAGTGCTTAACTTTTGCTTCTCCACAGTCAACTCCTCATGGAAACTTCCCATCCCTCCTTCTGTGAAATTCCCTAATGGATTTCAGATACCTGTGTTAAAAAATAAGAAGACTGCTTCCCAACTGCTGGGAACCCCAGTGTGCAGTACTTGAAGCACGCCTAAGCCCTACTAACGCTCCCTTCTAAACTGCTACCCCCTCTCAAGTAACTATCTCAATTTGTCTGACCTTGTAGCCTCATGGTTAAGCCACAGCCACTAAGTGAGAAAACTGATTTGAATTCTGCCTTCACTGATGGTACCTGCACGATCGCCTGTTCTTCTTCATCTACAGATTCAGGTAATGAAAGCACCTACCTTCTACCCTGCAGGGTGGTTGTGAGGATTAAATGAGATGCTGCATATACAGTGCCTGGCTTGTTTTAAGTGTTTGATAAATGTGAAAGCACACAATTATTGTGCATTTGAACCCACCTGCTCTGGCTCACTTTTTGATATGGGTGGGTTTCTTCCTGTGATGGGAATGGCTTTGTCTATCTTACGCAGTCTTGGTTCTGCCATTTGTCTGCTCAGTGCGTCAGGAATGGAAAAAACCCAAACATCACTCTGAACCACATAGCACGGCAGCCCCCTTAGCCGGTCCTTTCCTACCCCTCCCCTGCCCCGCTGGAATCCTGTGCGGCTCCTCAGCCACCCAGCTCTGCTAGCCTGCACACACCTCTTCCCCTCCAATTAAAATGAGCAAGTCAAAAGGATGAAATGTTCCTGTCAGCACTCACTCAGGTAAATTGGATCTCAATATTTGAAAGGAGAGAGGGAATAAGAATGATGTTCTGTGCCAGAGTTCTGGCTTAAGTGCTTCCAGTCCTCTGGTGAAGGCAGAAGGTGCATAGCCCCACCCAGCTTCAGGAGACCCTTCCCTCGTACCATCTGTTTAAAATTAAAATATTGCCATATGCCAAGGAAAGGTTTGAACTTTCCCACTGCTGCTCTCTCGATCTCTCACATAGAAGGGGGAAGAAGGAAAGCCAAACCATTCTTCCATTCCAAGGAGAAAATTCGAGATTCAAGTCCTACCACGGAGTGAAGGACTGGGAAGTCAAAAGGCCAAGTTCAGTCCTGGTTCTGTCATTAGCTTTTCGAGCTTGGGCTAGACCATTTGCTTTCTGGAAAAAAGTAGGCTTAAGTACAGGGGCCTGGACTTGATACTGACTATTAAGTATCTTTGCCAAGTAATTAAGTGTGAATCTAATCAAAAGACCTAACTCCCAGTTTACAAGAAATATGGGGGATGGAGGGACACATTAAATTATAATTCAGCAAAATCCAAAATGTGAGACATTTTATAGGGTGAATGACTCCATTTCTTTAACAGTTGAATGACAGGGAGGGAAGGAACCTTATATAAGAGATTTAAGAGATTTACCAGCCAAATGCAATGGGTGGACTATTTTTGGTTCCAATGAAAACAAAACAATGTAGGAATACATTTATGGGACAATTTGAAATATTTGAACTGTGTTTGGATATTTGATATTAAGAAATTATTATTTTCTTTAGAAAATAGTGCATAATACTGGCATTATGGTTAAGAAAGTCCTTATTTCTTGGAGATACATATGCAAGTATACATAGGATCATATGATACAGAAATCCTCTATATATGTATGGGGATTTATATGTATATATGTATAGAAATCCGGCTATATGTATGGGATTTACTTGAAAACAATCTAATAGAAGAGTGGATGGGATGAGAACATGAAATAAGATCTGTCTTATGTTGGTAATCATTGCAATTGATCAAGGGACTTATTGGGATTCTTTATAAAATTCTCTCTAGTTTTGTGTATGTTTGGAAATGATCCATCATAAAAAGTTAGAGTACAAAAGAATGCGGGCTTTGGAGAGAGGAAGACTGCCTGGATCTACCTCTTAATGGGCCAGCTAACCCTTGATTGAGTTCCCCATGAGGACTAAAAGAGCACCTGCCTCAGAGGATTGTTGTCAGCCCAAGGAAAGCCCTTCACGTGGCACCTGGCATATATACCAAGGGTCCTTTCAATGTTCACTCTCATTATTAATAAAATAAGAGGTTTGGGCTAAATTCATCTCTCTGGTTCTTTCGGACCGACAGAGTATCTGATTCTGACCTGTTTCTCTTACATCATAGCCCTCTTTATTTTCTGGGCTACTCCACATTCACCTTTCTGGAAATTAACTGCCTCTTGTGTTCACCTCCCTCTGCCCGGGGCATCTGGACACTTTACCTGGGCAGCCAGGTGTCAGTTCCATGGGTGGGTTGGACTGATTCCTGGATTGGCAGGTGCAGGTTTCTGATTTCCTCACCTGCTCACTCACTACCTGGCTCTCTTTCCAGTAGCTCCCCGTCACCTGAAACAAGCGCTCGGCGCTGTGAGAGTAAGCTAGAAACTTGGGGTGGAGAAGGGTGAGTGTGGGATGCAGTTAATCTGACTCCACAGCTCCTCCTCACCCCATGATGGGAGGAGTGTTTCGGGTGGCGCCTGTTTCGGCTGTGTCTCCCTGGCATTCCTGGCCATGTAGGATGGGGCAAAGCACTTTATTTCCCTGCACTCAGTCCACTCATCTGTCAAATGGGGACAATAATATCATACTTTTAAAATACAAAGTGGTGGTCAACTCTAGAGGGTCAACTCCAGAGCTGGACTGCTGGGGTTAAAACCCTGGCTGGCTCTGCTCTGTATGACCTGTGGGACCTTGGACCTCTCTGTGACTGTTTTCTCACTGGTGAAATAGGAGCAGTAATAGTACCAACCACATAGGATGGTTGTGAGATTAAATCAGTAACACCTGGCACAAAAATGGCATTTGGCAAATGTTGGTCCCGTGGCTATCTTCATCATTGTCGTCATTTAGCACAATGCACCTTGAGAGTTCACCCATGTGCCCGGCACCTCACTTCAGGTCTTTCAGACCCGTGGAGTTCTTACCCCAGCCATGTGGTGCACCCACCGGGAGTCGGGGCTAGCACAGTGGATTCATCACAAACCAGTGTCACATGAAGGAAACAGAGTGTTACACCCTTCCTTCCCAATTTCAGATATTTCCTTTTGGTGATTTTGGATTAAAATACTTCCAAAGATGAATCTGGGGTGGACTGGGAAGGACATAGGAAGGAGAGCAATAGCTTATGGGAAGCCACTTTGTGTGTGAGTTAAAAGACCTCTCCAGGAAGACCAGTGAAGGAGGTTCATTCCTCAGTTCTCCCCAGCCCTGCCAAAGAAAACAAGTCACCTGGCTACGCCCAGCCTCCCTCTATAGCTGCCTTGAGGCCATGCGCCTGTGGGTCAGGTGGGGGCCTACCATGTGGTGCCTGGAGCTGTCAGTTACACCCCTCTTTGGAGTGGCAGCTTCACGCCTCAAAGCTTCTGGCTCTGAATCATTACTCAGAGTTGGAAAGAGCCCAAGAAACATGGTAAACAGGGTTGGAACCCAAGAAATGTGGAAAATAAGAATGATGGGAAGCAACACGACACCAGAATCACAAAGGAAAGAGTCCTGTAGAAGATAGGTCATGGTCTGAGCCTGGTGGAGAGGCTGGGGATCACCTAGTTCTAAATATCATCCCTCAGAATTACAGGGCATGGCATTTGGTCACTGGGCTCCTCCAGGGCATCAGGCCTACTTCCTGGCTTGAGAGCCCACGCTAATAAATACACACTCCTACCCACCCCCTACCCTGGGCCCCTAACTTCCCAGACTATAGAATTGCAGGCAGGGAAGCTTGTAAGGACAAACAGCCCTTGTACTCCTTCCTCTGGGTATTGAGAAAGATCTGGAGTGGAATTAGCTTTGTGGGATTTCCAGGTGCCTAATCCTCCAGTGAGTCTGAACCGAGTTTGGCTGTTTTCACCTGCCTGACAAGAGGCAGGCTAAACCACACCCAGTCGTTAAAAATCATAGGTCCAAAGTGTTTATTGCAGCCTCTCAGTAAAGATGTCAGTCCAGATTTAACAGAACTAAAGGTAAAATGATTAATACCCACAACACCTAAAGCCCAGCTATTGTAATATACCATGTAGTTACAGTATTTTCCAAAGTGTAGGTAGAGAAAAATCTTACTTCTGAGTAAAAGCATGTGGTTTTGTATAATCTGAGCATCAAGATCTCAACTCCAATGGTCAGGTGTGTGTATGGGGGACTTGGTCTGTAGCACAGTAGTTGGAGAGACTTTTTTTCTGCCTTGGACTTTATAAAGACAAAGAAGGGATTTGTTGAAAATAACAGGACCCCACTCTCCATAATGAGGACCATATTGGATTTATTATAAATACAGTATATGTACAATGAATTATAAATAAAGGGGTTTCAAACTGTCTCCCACTTTCCATAATAGGCCCAAGTAATATGACATTTACATGGACTCTGTGTGGCTTTGTTCCAGTAGCAGAATGGGGATGTGAGGTTAGCACTTCTGGAAATGGGAGGACACTTCAAAAAAGATATGTTGGAATCTGATAAGGGATTTAACAGCCAGAATATATAGGGAAATCCTAAAACTCAACAACAAAAAACTAAACAACCTGATTCAAAAATGGGCAAAAGACCTGAACAGACATTTTTCAGAAGATATACAATTGTACAATAGGCACGTGAAAAGACGCCTGACACTAATTGCCACGGACATTCAAGTCAAAACTCAATGAGCTATCTCCTCATGCTCATCAAGATGACTACTATCAAAAAAAGAACAGAATATAAGTGTTGGTGAAAATGTGGGGAAACAAGAACTCTTGTTCACTTTTGGTGGGAATGTAAAATGGCACAGCCACAGTGAAAACAGTAAAGTGATTCTTCAAAAAATTAAAAATGGAATTACCACATCACCCAGCAATTCTACTTCTGGGTATATACCCAAAAGGACTGAAAGCAAGCTCTCAGAGAGGTATTTGCACACTCATATTCATTACAGCTTATTCACAATAGTTAAAATGTGGAAACAATCCAAGTATTTATCAATAGGAAGAAAAGATAAGTATAATGTGAGATACTCCAGGGTATTCTTCAGCCTCAAAAAGAAGGAAATTCTGCAATACGCTACCACATGGATGAAACTTTAGGGCATTATGCTAAGTAAAAGCCAGTCATAAAAAGACAAATACTGGGAGATTCAAGATGACGGCATGAGAGGTGAGACAGAGAACTCTGCCCCAAACCACATATAACACAAAAATATAGTTAATACAACTAATCCTGGAAAAAAGGCTGTGCCAGACTGCATACACCTGGAGAACAGAGCAGACCTCATGAAACAGGAGTGTATATCAATGATACCTTAAAAAAAAAAAAAGATTGTTTCTAATAAATTGTTTTCATGTATAGTAGCATTAAATTAATGAGTTACCTTCCAAACCAAGTTTCCTGACTATTTTTATAATAAACAACCGTTAAATGTTATTTAATGCTTCTATTTAACAATTTTGTTTTTCAATTTGATCTATTAATGTGATAAATTACATTGATAGTTTTCTGACTTGAGCCATCCTTGACTTCATATTAAACCCTATTTGATTGTCAAAAAAAAAGACAAATACTGTATGATTCCATTTATATGAAGTACCTAGAGCAATCAAAGCCATAGAGACAGAAAGTAGAACGGTGGTTGCCAGGGACTGGGGGAAGGAGGGAACGGAGGTATAATGGGTACAGAGTTTCAGGTTTACAAGATGAGATTTCTGGAAATGGAAGTTGGTGATAGTTGCACAACAATATAAGCATACTTAATATTACTGAACCGTATGCTGAAGAATATTAAGATGGTAAATTTTGTGTTATATGTCTTTTACTGCAATAAGAAAAAATACTGAAAAAATGAAAAGTCTTCTCTAAAATGTCATGATCCCAGGTAAATGCTGTGAAAACAAGAAGTGCCTTTTTAGATGGTTCTGTTCAACATCAGAAGGCTTTATTCATAAACAGTAGATGGTTCTATACAAAACAAAAAACTGGAAAATTTTGGCTTTCAGTATTTTCATTTAAAAGGGTAAAAATTTACTAATAGTATGTTAATATTAAGGTTGACAGTAAATGGCAAGTTTTAATTTAAGTACAATCCCCAACTCATGATATTTAGACTTAAGATTTTTCAACTTTATGATGGCATAAAAGCAATAATGCATTTAGTAGAAACCATCCTTTGAATTTTGAATTCTGATTTTCTCCCAGACTAGTGATATGCATACGATTCTCCTCTTGCTGTGCTGGGCAGTGAGCAGCTGCTCCCAGTCAGCCCATGATCATGAGGGTAAAAAAATGATGCTACAACTATTCTGTTCCCATACAATCATTCTGTTTTTTCACTTTCAGTACAGTATTCAATAAATTACATGAAATATTCAATACTTTATTATAAAATGGCTTTGTGTTTGATGATTTTGCTCAATTGCAGGCTAATGGAAGTGTTCTAAGCACATTTAAAGTGGGCTAGGTATATTAAACACATATTTTACTTAAAATATTTTAGATTTACAATGGGTTTATCAGGACATAACTCCATCATACGTCAAGGAATATCTGTAAATACTTAAAATACCTTAAAAAAATCTTGGGGTCCTAACTCCTAGGACCTCACACTGTGACCTTCTTTGCAGATGGGGTCTTCACAAACATAATCAAGTTAGAATGAGGTTGTTAGGGTGGTTGGTGTGACTGGTGTCCTTATAAAAGGGGAAATGGTGGTACAGACAGACACAGAGGAAAGGTAGTACAAAGGGATGCAGGGAGAAGATGACCATCTATAAGCCCAGCAGAGATGCTTAGAACAGAGCCTTCTCTCACTGCCCACAGAAAGAACCAGCCCTGCCCACACCTTGATCTCAAGACATCTGGCCTTCAGAGCTGTGAGATAATAAATTTCTGTTGTTTACTTCACCCAGTTTGTGGTACTTTGTTATGACAGCCCTAGAAAACAAATGCAAGAGACAACAGGTGATTCTGTGATGCACCCCCAGCTGTCTCCTCAACAACTGCTTTGTCAACAGTGTGGAGAACCTGGAGGGTCCCAGATCCATCTTCAGACCTTCCCTGTGAGGAATCACTGTGGGCCCATAATTAGGGAGCTGGGGAGACTCCTATGGGCCCACAGTCTGTCTCCTTAGCCCCTGGTTATGGGCCCACAGTGGTTCCTCAAGGGAAGGATCTGAAGATGGATCTGGGACCCTCCAGGTTCTCTACACTCCGTGTCTGTTGGTCTGATGATGTCCTGTCCTGAGCCCAAAGCAGCTGTGGCCCAGGGGATCTGACCTACACTGGACCTTCCATTTCTTATCCCTCTGCCTGATATGCCTACTCACAGATAGTCCCAGTCTTCCTCTCCTTGGAGTGGCCTGGGTTTGATCTCTTTTGATCTTCTGTGTTTTCAGTGCACGGTGATAATGGGAAGGATTTGAAAGTTCATTTGATGGAAGAATCCTGCTTGCATTGAAGATGACTCTGCTGTCTGTAAGACGCTGTGACACTTCCTGGGAATGGCCACTAACCATCCTCCCAGCAGCAGTAACAGGTAATTTCTGCTTAAAGCATTTGCCCATCCTATCATCTGGATTTTACTTGGGTATCTAGACATGTTTTTCCCTGAGAAGCGTCTAGCTGCCCCATCTGTGATTGGCACAGAATCCCAGGCTTAATTTGCAGCAGCCTTGGCTGGTTCTGGTCTAGTGAGGGACCAGGTTTATGGACCAAACCTATGCAATGGAAGCTCTGTTCCTTTAAATCTTTCGGATTCTAGGTCATACTTGGCAGTATTTGCAGATCAGTGTCTATGACCCCTGGGGTTCCGAGGCAAGAAAGGATGGTTTAGCAAAGTCTATCAACACTTCCAGAAATCCAATTTGAAGTGCACTATCTATGTTCTCTGTTTGTAAGACTACAAATAAATACAAATACACATTTCCATAAGGAAATATAAGTAGGATTAAAAAATAATAAAAATGATGACCAACAAAGAAGAGAAGGAAGTAGAGAGATAGGATGAAGGGAAAGGAGGTGGCAGCAAGACTTCTCAGGGATTCTTTGCTTTAGAATTGTGACTCTTGAATCATAGAAATGAATTATCCATTAAGAATAAATTTTTAATTAAAAAATGTACCATCTGTTGAAAAAAGGTCTGAGTTCCATTTTTACTTAGGAAATACACCCTATGTAATTTATAAAAAGCTATCTCAGTTTTAATGCTTATGTTAACCTATGTTTAAAAATGGTGACAGTTTCCTTGTTTGGCATAAATGAAAGCCTGCAGAACCTGTTGTTAATATCAGAATGGGCATTACATGCGAGAGTAGCACCTGGAAGACCTTGACCTCCTAGTCTAGGCTTCCTAGGGAACCAGGTGTGTGGCCTTAGACTAGTCACTTTACCTTTATATTCTTCACTTCTTCATCTGTAACTCCAGCTTAATTGCACCTCTTCACCATGCTCCCAGAGTTGTTATGAGACTCAAATGTGAAAACACTTTGAAAGCAACATAATTATCAGTGCTGATGATAGTTTCCAATTGAATGTAACATTGCAATATTTCTAAAGCCTCTTGCCTGGCGTCAGTGCATCTCCATATCAATAGGTATTTCCAAGGGATAGAGAGCAGTAGTCCATCTCCACATCAGTAGGCAATTACAAGGGGGAGCAGGGCATGTCTGGACGGAGAGGCTGGGTGGGGTCCCTTTTTGCAGCTGGGTCGCAAGAGACACGGGTGAGCGGAAGTGAACGACACGATGCAAACTTTAGAGTATGTGTATGTCTGTATGGCACTGGCCACAGACTGGAGTTACTCCAGGGGGGACCTTTCTGACTCCAATTTAGACGAAGCATTTTGCTAAGCGCTAAAGCGGTCATTTAATCTAAGAAGTGCAGGCTAAGGTGGCAGAAACTGGTCTCTTCATCTGGGCCAAAACAAGAACTCTGATTCTGCAAACAAATGACAAGGTTTAGGAGTACTTGGTAATGACTTAAAATTCTTAGGCTTCTAGTCCACTCCCTTTGCTGCCCTAAAAACACACAAAATTCAGGAAGAGGCAAGAAAGATGGTATAACTTCTGAGAGAGAATTCAAGGAGACAGGAAAAACAAGAATATAAACAGCACAACGTGTCTGACATGTTGATACATTTCCCTCTCGGTTTTTTTTTTTAACCCCTTAGGAAAATATCTAGAATTTTGTCTGTTTTAACAGAAATTTGGAAGGAAAGTTTGACATAATCCCTGGAACTGTAAAACTTCTTTATACACCGTCGCTGGAGTACTTTTCTTACACTCCCCCAAGCCAACCTACAATGTGGCAAGTTTGCGAGCCAGGAAGGGAGGTGTAATCCGAGAGGAGCGGCAGGGCGGCTCCCCCGGAGGGCGGGGCCCCAGCTCCTCCCGGCCGGGCGCTGGGCCCCTCCTATTGCCGCAGGGGAAAAGGAGGGGAGACCTACATTGAAAACGGCAGGAACCTACCAACTGCAAAGATCCTAAAATGCCCAGTGAGAATTCTCATTTGTGAGGTCAAATCTAGGGCAAAAGAATTACCTCATCTCCGAAAACCCCCTAATTTAAGGGGTCGAGCCAGGCTGGCAAAACCCCAAGTCATCAACTCAATCTAACTTGATCTTTAAAGATGTAACGTAGGACTACTCTGGATTTTTTGTTTGTTTTTTTTCTTTTGCCTGAGCCAATTTTTCTGGTGGCATTTCTGTTACTTCCTGTTTGTGACTGAACTTTCCTTGCCCTACTTCCTTCTTTGGGGTTTAGGTTGCCTCGACTACCACTTCTACTTAGACACGTGGAGTGTGTGTGTGTGTGTGTGTGTGTGTGTGTGTGTGTGTTTCACATAAAATTTTTGTTATAAAGCACTCCTTAATCATTTACTCTCCACAACAACATAAGACGATAAGCAGTATCAGGCCCAAATTACAGATAAACAAACCGGAGTTTAAAAAGGTTGAAGCGTCCGAGGTTACTCATCAAATAAAGGAACAAAACCTAAACCTGAGTCCCTGATTCTGAATTTAAGTTCTTTCCATTTATTTCACTTTTAGGGGGAGACCTAAACTTAATTTTTTGGCAAAATTCTATTCAGGATGGATTCATTCATTCAGTCTTTGTTACAGAGTTTGCTCCTGAAATATAAAGAAACAGCGTAGCGTGGGCCCCTCGCCAGAGCAATGGAAGAATCGTGAGGATCTACGATTTCATTTTTCGGCAACGCCTCATGCATTACAACACGGCTACTTCAGCGCCATCCCCGTCGGCCCTGCTTCTCCCGTACTCAGAGGTGCGCGGTCGGCGTCAGGCAGCAGGGGGAGCAAGTGTGCAAGCGGAGGGAAGATGCTTCCGCGCACGTCTCAGCTCCTGTGTCCTTTAACAGGCCTGGGTGGGAAAAGTATGTTTTTGTTTTGTTTTGTTTTGTTTTGTTTTGTTTTGTTTTGTTTGCTAACTGAATGCGTAGCCCTCCAGGCTTCTCCGCAAAGATTTGAGCTTACTGATTTGTAGAATGGGAAAAACCACACTCAGTGGTTGTAGAAGAAAGTCAGCTTTCTGCCCCCTGGGTCAAAGGAAATCAAAGCCTCCACATTGCTACTGAGGCAGGACTGGGTTTTGGGTCTCTGCAGGTCGGAGAAGGCCCTTGAAGCTTTGGCTCTGTGGTGGGGGGAGGCCCAGACAGTGGGCTACCCTGGGTCCAGGGATGGTACCACCTCTGCCAACAGCCTGCCTGAGAGGACAGGAACTTGTAAAGTCAGTAGCAAGAGAATTAGACTGTACACTGCAGCGGGGAGAGATGTTTGTGTTTTTCCACTGTATCTCTGCCTTCCAGAACAGTGCAGGTGGCTGGTTTGGCGGCCACGTGCCTTCACGAGGTCCTTTGACAGAGTCTGTTAACTTATGCCGTGTTTTGACCAAGGCCTTGATGTCAGATAGAAAAGAAACAAATACTTTGGCATCGTATAACCCAAAGCCCAGAGTAAGGCTGGGGAGAAGTTTTGGGGGGCTTGCACTGCTTCTAGAATAACTTTGAGGGCTGACAAGCTGCTTTTACTCTGGAGTGTACATTCGCTCACTTCCTTTCTGGACCAGAACTGTAATTTCTTAATCTGGGAAAGAAAAGTTGCATCAGGGGAGATGCCCTGAGGGCTTGCTGGCAACAATTTCCTTTCTGGCAAAAGACAGAAGCAAAAGTTGATGTTAGCCTCCACTTTGCAGTTACATATAGAAGATAATTGATTTTCTCTTGTATGGTAGTTATTTACTGAAAACATTGTTTTGGTCTTGGTTCCAAATACACATGAAATTTGTACTCTAATGCACCTGATTTTGTAATTTTTTGGGGGTGGGGATAGTTTAAAATGCTGACTTCCTAGAGTATTTTTCTAGCACAGTAGAAAAGACATTAAACAAAGTTTCCTGCAAAATTACTAGGAGACATCTCTTCCTATACATTATTCTGGGGGCAAAAACTTCCTTCACTGTGAGTAAGTAAAAAAGCTGTAATCAGGATAACCAAGAAGGAAATGGATGAAATGAGTGAATGGCAATAATGTTCTCTGGGTCTCTATTCTTCTCAGGGTTTCCCCTAATATAATGATAACTGTGTATCATGTATTTACCATCACAGTGAAACCTGTGTATCCCCTGATATAAAATAATACCTGTATGTGGAGTTGGTATACTATAAGGAAATTTAATAATCTTCTGGAATGTTTCCCATTTCTCACAGCCCATCAGAAAAGTTACTTTACATTTGTAAACACTCTAGTTCAAGTATTCATTTATTGTATCACCCTCGATCAAGTACCCTCCATGTGCCAGGCATAGGAAACAAAGGTGAAGACCCACCCTTGCATAACTCACTGGTAAGCAAGGCCTCCTGTTCCACATTGTGTTTTAACAAGCCTGTGGGAAGCTGTGGATTTTAAGAAAGGGAAGGACATGTGTGGCTTCTCATTTTGGGAGAGAACACAGTGGTGGCTGTATGAAGAGTGGGTTGGAGATGGGGAGGCAGGGAGCAGCCTAACGGGTGAGGAACCTCCGGAGTCCAGGTGAGAAATGCTGAGGGCTGGAGCTCAGGTGGAGGCTGCAGGAATGTGTACAAAGGGAAAGATGGGCAGTATGCGACGGGGTGAAACAGAGTGGTAAAGGGGACACCTAGAAGAGATTAAAGCCTCAGACAGACCCGGTTTAGTAATTGGACTTAGCACCTGGGAAGAGGAGGCAAGGCTGGGTACAGGGATAGTGAACACAGAGCTTTTAATACCAATGACTAAATGGTGCCTCTGTGGTCTTGCTGAGAGTGTTCATTTGTCCCTCCCTCTCCCTGTGTCATCACCGCCAAGGTGACTGATGGCACAGAGGCCTAGTTCTCCCTTGGAAGGCATTGCTGCCTCCAACCACAGCCATTACCTCCCCCCAGCACCCCCCACGGCCAAGGGAGTCATTCTACCAGCTGAGGTTCCTGCCACACAGGCTGGTGAGTCATTCCCCCAGAACAGCTGGTGGCCAATGTACTTCTCTCTTTCAGTCTGTGGGAGCACTTCCAGGACCTGCCCCCATCCCAAAAGGTATTTTAGCCTACCCTTTAGGGCAAGCTCTCTTAGCAGAGCCGGCTGCCCACTCCTCCAGGATCAGAGGGTCTCTACTCCAAAATTATACTCAAATTATTGCTGTGTCCACATTTTAACTCAGATTGTTAACTCATTATTACTTTATTATTGCCATATCTGAAGTAGAAAAATTGTAAGAGGGAAGGTAGTGGTGGCTCCTGTAAGAACGACACATCTTTCTTTTAAGGCTGTGTTTCTCAAAGTCTAGTTCATGTACCATGTCCTGCATCAAAATCACTGTAAGTCTTGGTAAAAATGGAGATTTCTGGGCCCTACCAAAGAACTACTGAATCGCTGGGGGTGAGGGGTGGGGTTAGGTACTGGGGAGTTTATATTTTCAATAAGCACTCTCAAGTGAGTTTTAAATCATCTACTAAAAAGCAATAGTGATGGCACTAGAATTTCTTTCTGTGGTATTTCTGACCCACTCTACTGCTACAATGACCTCACAGCCCTGTGGGTCTTTCTGGCTTGCTTGGAGGAAGGCAGTGCCTTTTCTCCTGGGGGAGAACACCCACTCTAGAGGCTATCAGATCAGTTCCATTGCAGTTTTGCTAATTTTCTTGTGGCATTGGGGGGCAGCTTAGCAAATTACACACATGCACACAAAAATAAGTCTAACATCCCTGCTTAAAAAGACAAATGCATCCTCATATTTGAAATAATAGTATTGGGTTATGTTATCATATTCCTCTTTCAAAAGGTCAATTAAATGTGTTCCCAAATTCCAAATAGTGATATTGACTCGCCACCCGTAGAACATTTTTTTATTGTTTTTCTTTTGGTTGGCATGGTGGATTCCTCTTAAATGAAGTCCTCTCTCCTCTCTGCTTTGTGCCCATTAACTAACCTAGGTCAGCAAAGCAATCTGTGCTGCTGGACTTAAGTCTGATGCCTTGCAAAGTTAACTGAGCCCCTAATGCTGTTCCAGGGAGCTGCCATTGTCCAAGTGCTTTGAACTCTGAGGAACCTGGAAAAGCAACAGGCACATAGATTCAAAAAGGATTCCGAAAAATAAGTTAGTTAGAGGGTTCTGGATAATTGATAGTTGAATTTGGTTTCCTTTCTCAGCAAGTATTCACTGAGGCCTAAACAGCAATGAGGTAAGGGCTGAGGGGATATAAAGGTGGGAAAGCCCTGCTCCACACCCTTGCAGAGCACATGGTAGGGCAGGCAAGATGAGACATGCACTTCAAAATTAAATACCAATACAAGGCAGTAAATGTTAATGAGTGGTTGGACATCTAATGCTGGCACCGTTCAGGGGAGAGGGAGAGAGAACACCCAGGGCTGGAAGTTATGGAGAGCCTAGAGCTGCCCTGAAAATCTGCAAAAGATGGGAAGGGAGACAGAGAAGCGATGGAGCTCTATGTAAAGACTTGGGGAGGAAAAGGCACAGTGCTGGGAAAAGACAGTCCGTGCTGGCAACAACTAGTACAGTGGGTCTCCAGGAGCACAGGTCTAGGGCTGGAAATGGTAAAAGATGAAGTTCAGGTTTCATGTCTAAACATTTACCAAATAGTGTGACTAACACTGTGTTCACCTGGACCGACAGTTCTTATTTAAGTCTTGCAGTGACACTGCAGGGTCAGTATTCTCCCATGTTCCACTTTAACAGGAGGAACCTGCGGCTCAGAGAGTATGGTAACTGGCCAGAAGTCACATGGCTAGCAGACAGAGAAGCCAGGAGGCAAGCCCAAGCCTGCTTGCCTCCAAAGCTTGTGTGTTTCTTAGGGATTCTTTTTGTCCTTTTTCCTCTTCTCCAGACCATATTGCTGCTTGCAGGAGAGGCTTAGCAGGGACCTGGGGGCTCTCTCCTGCCCTGGTGACCCATAGTTTCTGCTTGGAAAAGGCTGTATTTCATGTTCTGTTCACAGAGCCCTGGGCGTGGCACCAAGGCCAGGAAGGGATGAGCTGATATTCCCAATTTCTGGCCCTTCAGATCCTTTGCACTTTTTGTCTCTGTTTTTGAAATCTTTGATGTGAATTTCCTGAAGAGCAGAAAAATGACTATAAGGTCTTACCTACACTATGCCAAACACTCTCCATGTTGTACAGACTTAGCTTTAAGTTCAGCAATGAGTAACTGAATGTTCCCTGACAATGGATTTTTTTCAAAGTTAGTTCATTCCTCTCCCTTGTAATGGATCTAAAGGCAGACAGTGCAAGGGCTGCCTGGAGGCTCCATCAGACTTCACAGGCATCCAGTCCTCTTCCTTCGTGCTGTTCCACCATCGTTAGTGGGCCACCCCCTGGGTGCTAGCCGTCACTTCCACATTCTAACCAGCAAGGAGAAAAAAAGAGGGCAAGAAGGTATTTCTTTTTCAGTTTAAGGACCTTCCCTAGAAGTTGGCCACCACATCTCCATGCATAAATCACTGGCCACAATTAGTCTAGTGGAACAACTAGCTGCAGGCGTACTCAGAAATGTAGTCTTTATTTCAGGCTGCCCTGTGCTCAGGTGAAACCCATTACTAGAGAAAGGGAATAGATATTTAGGTAGACAAATAGCCGTCTCTCGCACAATTCCATTAACTCATTTGATCCTTATTATCATGCAATTCTGTGAGTTGGATACGATTAATATCCTCACTTTATAGATGGGGAAATCAAAGTTCAGAGAGGTTATCTTGTCTCAGGTCACACAGCTATTTAAAAAGTAGTTGGGACTGAACAGCTCTCAGCTGACTCCTAAGCCTGTACAACCCCCTGACCAAGAATGGAGACATTGAAATGTACATTCATCATGCTCAGGCTATAAATGCTTTTTTTCTCTTTATTTTTCCTACCTAAGATATAAGCATACCTTTTAT